TCGGATTTCCACGCCATGTCACCTAATCCTATATATATATGTACGGGACTCGACAGAAGATCATTCTCCCCCTCCTGGGGACGAACCCCAGGCCCGTAAAAGCACCACATAACTCCTTTCTTCTCTTTTGCTTCCTCATTTTCTTCGTTCTTTTTACTTTTCTTTTCCATTTTTCTTCTTCTTCTTCTTCTTAGTTATCAAGGATTAAGCTTTGCACTTTGGGATTCAACACTTGGATTAAAATAAATTGTAAGTTTCTTTTCTATTTGAAATTCATGAATAATGATTGATTTGGGAGAGATGATTATTGGTGTTGAATTTATTTTACGTAGCTAATTCTTATTGCTTGGGATAGGGGATGATTGTTCTTATTTAACGTGTATTTGTCGGGCTCAAGATTGTTCATGCTTATGTGAGTTGATTTAATTCAGAATTGATGAAATTATGATTGATAGTTTGATGTAATTGAAGGGTGACAATTCGATCTTGCAATTGGTAACAATTGGATATTGACTTGTCGAGTTTGGTTTTGTTGATTCTCGATGATTAGTTGATTAAACACCTTCTAATTAAATTAGCGACTTTTTTAACCGAAAGGGGAGAAGTCGTAGACCTAGGTTCGTATGAGATAGATGATTTCGTAATTGAACAGTCTATTGGTTTTGGATTGAAATACGTGCTTGTCGATGACCCGTCCTTTGTTACGAAAAGTTATTGGGATTGGGATAATTGGCCTGTGTCGTATGGTCGAGTTTGTTCGTCTATGTTCAATCCCTTGTTACGAAGAGTTATTGGGAGCGAACCGCTAGATGTTTAAGCGAGAGTGTCAATCTCGAACTGAACAATTGATTGCCCGATTTTGCTAAGAACTTGAATAAATTATCCCCGATTCCCTAACTTCTCCATCTTTGTTCCGTTTATATTTTTAGGTAGATTATTGTTTTATTTTATTTCTTAGTTAATAACTCATCCAATCTTCTATCTGATTAGAGTGTTTATGTTTTTATATTCTTTTTGTGTGCTGTCAACACCATTTCTAAATTCCGAACCGTCTTCCTCGTGAGATCGACGCGGGGATCGAATCTTTAGATTCGGTACTCGGTAAAAATATAATTTGCTACAACAATCAACTAAGAGCGTGGGGGAATGGCCCTCGTCCCCATACAAGAACTCGTCTTTTGATGATGGGATTGGTTGGGCGGTCGTTTCTCCAGTTTGCTTTCCTGATTCTTATTTCATACTGTAGAGAGATCGATATAAGAATATTCTAGCCAATAGACCGACATTATGGTTTTACAAGTAGATCGGCACAGGACTGAACAAGTTGGTTCGTGGGCTTCCTCTCACTTTAAGGCACAAAGTGATATGAATCTTGTATTTATCATGGGTGATGCATAATGAGCCGGCCCAAAACACATGTGAAACTATTTATGCATACCACGTACTATTTTAAAAATAAATTAAAAAGTAACTAAATTTATGATCAATATCTATTGATCTATTTTCAAGCTTCGATAAACAGGTGGACTCGCAACCTCAACGTGAGGAGTTCGATTTCTAGAAGTTGCATTTCATTTAGTAGAACTTATTGAGAGTAAAAGTATTGGAACATGGGGGCTATTTTCTACTTCACTTTAGGGTTAGGAGCCAAAAAAAAAAAAAGGGNCAAAAAAAAAAAAAGGGTTGGCCTTAGTAAATGTAAAAGATTGTTAGTTAGAAAAGGGGTTACAAAATATAACTTATATGTCCCGAGTGAAATGACTAACGCAAGTGGTACGAAGACCAACTTATATGGGTAAATTACATCGCCGTCCTTGCTGTTGATAGTTTGTTTGAAACCCTTCTTCACCAACTCGCACTTAGACCCATCTTCCCCATCATCCATCAACTGCGGAGCACAAAGAATGTGAGTCTCAGATTCCGGCAACCTTTCCCTGTAACCAAATCTATAACTTTGTTAGTCAACTACCTTCTCTCTATCTCCAACTCGCTCTCTCAATCCTTGTTGCAGCTAAAACCTTTTTGTTTTGGGAAGCGAACAGTAAAAGAGGCCTTCAGTTTTGGCCTTTTTTTGAGGCCTCCTTACGAGGGCCGGCGTTTCTAGGTCCTTGTAAAGAAAGAGGCTTCTCAAGACTCTGGTTTTTTTCGCTCTTCCTAGTTCATCTTGTGCTCAAACGTGGACTCCCATTTGATTTTTGGATGGTTCGTCTGCTCAACTCTTAAAAAAGTGTTTTTGGGTTTCTCTGAGGCCTCAACCCGTCGCTATTTTATTTTGTTTGACTTGATTTTTGCAATCTTGGGCCAGATCCTCGTAGTCGCAATTTTTCTAGGTGTGTTTTCCTCTCTTGCAGTTGTCACCTTGGGGTTTTCCTTCTCTCGTTCCTTTTTCAAGTCTTGACGGCGTTCTCTGGCTGGTCAGGCTCAGACTAGGAACATAGAATTTCTGGGCTCTTTTTTTTTATCGGCTTCCCTTTCTAATTTATTCTTGGTGGGCGTAGTTTTAGCTTTATAAATTAGGGTTTCATCAGGAGTCTGTTGATGGGATTTGGTGGGATGATGTAAAGGTTCTTGAAATCTTACCAACAATGGCTGTCAACCATCGTTATTTTGTGGAATGGAAAGAGCAATATGTGTCTAAAGAGAAGGGCAACCGTGTGGTTCACTATTTCTTGAAAGATAATTCAGGGGAATCAATTCTTTCTGTTGTGGGTACGGAGAGGAGTGTTAGGCACATGTTCTATGTTGTCTCCGAAGAGTTCCTTGGTGCCTATGGAGCTGATAGCTCGGTTCAGGCCAGCTTCAGATGGAGATCCAGGCGAGAGGTTGTGAATTGGCTTACTTCCATGTTGTCTAAACAACACAGAGGAGATTCTGCAAGTATGTGTTTGTTTTCTTATGCTTAAGCACTTGCTCATTAATTGATTAGGGTCTTTGTTTTTTAGACTATTGGTCATCTGCTGTCAATAGTTACTAGTGACATGGTGTGTTGATTTTCTTGATCAAGTTCTTTTAGCACGTTGCATTTTGGCCTTTTGAGAACTGACTTTGGAGAAATGTCATTGTTCTTATTGATACTTAAGGCTCTATGTACATGCCCAAAGAATGGTCAATTTGTGAGAGTATGTCTGAGTTGATGCTGTATTCACAAGCTAAGTTTGTCCATATTGCGAGCAGTTTGTTACTCTTTTCAAAGAATATCCAGTAGGTACTTGGACTGGCTGCTGTCATGATCCATCATGGTAAATGGTAATATGTTGTATATGCCTAAGTGTCGATTTTGGTCAGCAAACCTTGTGAAACTTTGTTTTTTGTGAATGTAAATTTTATTGCAAATTACTCCTGTACGAAGTATGTGCCCCAATTTTTTCTGTCTGAATAATGCGATACAAATGTGCTATAAGAATATTGATTAAGGCTTGTGTTTTCCTCTGATAATAGTTTTGCAAAAAAATATCCCTACTGAGAAGGAAAATATGCAGCAGACCCAGGTGCCATCTCATAAGGTACATGTTTGTTCGTATGCATGTTTCATGTACATATTCATTGGAGTCCTTCCATTTACAAAATATACTACC